GTGTGAATATGTAATTTGAAATTTCCAATGTTTATTTCTACAGCATTTTAGAAATTACATTCTAATCTTATATATGGCACATCTAATTATTTCATTCATCAACAGGTAAATCTAGAACCTATCTTTTTAAAAGTGAGTTTTTGAATAAGCTGTTTCATATTATTTTATTTTGCGCTTTCCATTTTTTTAAAGGACGTGGGATGAAATAGGGTCAAAAGTTTAAGAGCTACATGATACAAACTTTATATGCTTATTTACATTGATACTATCTACATAAAGACATGTGGCTTTTTTTAAAAAATGTCCACAGTTTGTTTTTCCAGCTTTTTTTTTTACATAATTTTATTTAATTTTTTTTTTTCACCGAGGTTGCATTTGCTGTCTTTGAGGAAAATTTATATAATTTGTATCTTTTTTTTTTTAAAACCCTTTTAGTATGAATTGTGTATGTATATAACCAATGCAACCTTTGTATTTTTTAGAGGGCCTGGGATTTTTTCCTAATGAACTTATTACAACTTTTTTGTTATTTCCACTTAGGATTTTCCATTTATCTCTGACGTCAGATGTATTATGAGGAAAAGTATTATTACCACATGCTTCAAAATTTGCAAGGTTGTTTCTATTGATATTCTCTACATAATGATTGATGTTTTTTTATTGCATATCTCATAAACAAAATTCAGAAGTTTTTATGATCTTATTATTTTTATTAGGCTCGAGGCTAGTTGGTTGTTGGAAAAATGCATTCATTTATATTCTTTCTATTATATCTATGTTCTTACATTGTTTTTTTAATTAACCAGTGGAATGTGTTCATGATGTATGCAGCCAATATGGTTCAAGTAACCTTTAATTTTTTTAATAAGCATTTTTCAGTGTCTTTTTCAGCTTTTATCGACTTGGCACTTTCAATTTTTTCTGACGTAAATTGAATCAGGAGGAATAGTTTTGGAACTACATAATTGAAACTTTGCATGCTTATTTATATTGACATTCTTTACTTAATGATGGATGGTTTTTAAACAAATGTCTCATACGAAAATTTTTCAGAATTTTTTATTTATATATTTTATTTATTAGATTCGTGGGGTCGCGTTTGAAAAAGTGTGTTAATTTTTTTTCTATCTTTTTTGTCTATGTTTTCAAATTGTTTTTTAATTCATGAAAGGTATATGTACATGATGTAAGCATCCTATATCATTCATGCAGCCTGTAATTTAAAAAAAAAACATTTTTATACTTCTTTTTCATTTTTCTCAATTTTGCGTTTTCCAGATTTTTTAGGAACGCCAAGTGAATCAGGAGGAACAGTATTCTAGCTACAGGCTTCAAACTTTGCATGCTTCTTTTCATTGATATTCTTGACAAAATACAAGAGGCTTTTTTTAAATATATCCAACTAGAAAAGTTTTATAACATTTTTACATATGGTACCCCTAAAAATTTCTCGAAGATTTATGTCACCCCAAATACATGCCATTTGTAACACTTCCAATAACTGCAGTGTAATAAGCTTCTTTAAACTTTTTGTCAATGTTATTCTTAATGTGTATGCAAAGTTTCATTATGATATTGCAATAAACAAATTGTTTGATTCATTTTGCGTGAAAGTCAAAATTGGTATAAAATTTTCAATTTTTTGCAATAAAAGTCACAAAAAATTTTTTAAAAATAAACTTTTGTGTTTTTTTGGCTTTCTGTTTGTGTATGGTTTGTTTGTACTATTTTTTTTTTTTTTAAATTAAGAAACATAGAAAAAATTTTTTTGACCCATGGACCACCTTAACAATAGCCCAGGGGCAGCTACTCGCTCACATTATTCATCAAACATAATGTTTAACCCAACCACAACTGTTAAAACACATGATTACACTCATCACTAGCATTACTTTAACTACGCAAGTTTTTTTTTTTTAATGCACGTGTGAAACTCAAATAAAGATAACACAGCTAAATTAACTAAATTTACTAGTGTCTTAAAAACAAGTCTAACGTCTCTTTGAGAAAGCCTCCTTGATGACGATATGGAGATTATCCTCACACTGAACTAAACACTTTTTAACTGTTTATCTGTGCCACCTTCAGATATGCACCGCTCACGTCCTAACTGTATGAGTGCTAAAGAACTTTCCCCACTATTACATCATAGATTATGTCGGGAATGCACACTACTTTAATATTTCCTGAAATATATGGGGTGCTGATCGTGACTAGAGCCTTCTCTCCTTTTAGCCTTGCATCATTCAATAGAACAACCGTACATCTCTCTCCTGTCAACTTACTGTCATCAACTAAGTCTTTCCTAACCACTATATCACTACACAGATAATGTCTAAACACTTTAACCTTTTGGTCTTCAACTAACCCAAATACACTTTCCTTCACTCCGACACCAATAGAAATTCCTCCTATTAGAATTTCATCTTCACTATCATTTCCTTTTTCTTCTTCGTACTTAATTTTACGTGTGCTATTGTTATCCTTCTTTACTAAAGACTTCTCTCTCTTCTCTATACACTTCTTTTCCTGTCCTAATCTGAAACACGTGGATACCGTTTTCACATCTCTGCAACTCGAATTTTTATCTTCCTCCGTGTCACGGACGGCTGGGCAATTTCTCACGACATGCCCCTTTTGGTGACACTTGTAGCAACGCCCCTGAAATTGACACCTCACGGCGGTGTGGCCTGGTCGTAAACAGCTGAAACAGACCCGTGGCCGTTCGCAGTCTCTGGCTAGGTGTCCACTTCCATAACAACGAAAACACCGGCGCTCGTTGTAGCAATCTCGAGCCAGATGACTAGTTGAGTAGCATCTGTAACACCGCCGTGCGTTAGTGCAGTACCTAGCAATGTGACCTGCACGATGGCACCTGTAGCAAAGTGGTGCGTCACACTGCTTCACTTGGTGGTACGCTGCTGGTCTCCAGAAATCCGACTGTCTGCACAACACTGACGTCATGTCTCCCTTCACACCTGTTGAATCCTAGGGACGTCTGTTCTCTATCTCTTTTACGTCAGCTTTGTCTATCTCCTGTTGCCTAGATCCCGGACGAGCCCCCAGATGTCACAGATAAGGTTGTTACGGAGGAGGGCTCCGGTCCTGACTTAACACAAACTATGTTGACTTAGTAGTGGTCAGTACAGGACCGCTCCTCTCTGTGATTTATATTGTGGGTGTCTAGGCGTTGAGACAGACAAAAGCACAACGTAGACTTGGACGAAATGCAACAACTCAAAACTTCTGGTGTCCAACGATAATGAAAGTGTTTATTGGTAAGATATACGTTTTTCCAGTCATCTGTCGTCTTCTGGTCTCTAGCAAGTATTCCCTAACAACTGCTCAGTTCTATCGTAGCTCTTTTCTCTCTCTTCCTCAACTAATCCGTAGTTCTTCTCTATCTTCCTCAACTAACTATTGTCGCCCTCTTCCGCTCTTCCTCAACTCGTCGTACCTGTGTTCACTCTCCCTCAACTAACCTAACTCAGTGAAAGCTCCCTCTTATATGTGGTTCTCTACCCCCCATAGGTGGTCCAGGAATGCTATCTATAAACACACCCATGCCCTCTAATTTCCGGTCAATTAGACCTTCCCATTGTTAACCCAGAAATTATCATGCGAAGTCTGGAAAACCCGAACATACTATTATCCAAAGAAACAATCCCCCACTATATCAAGATGTGAGAGTCTATTAACCTTAACTTAACCCCATTAACAGCAGTTTCCTTCCATCCTATAAGTTACCTAAACAACAATGGAGCTCTGTCCTGTACCCCCGCCCCAGTCATTTGTGACACACTCCAATATAGCAGAACATTTTTTTAGGTGACAAATGCTGTTAACGCCACCTTGATTTGAAGTAGGGAGTAAGGGAGGACAGAATGGAAGGCGCTGAAGGTTCCCGAGCTAAAGTGGGAGAGGGGGGGGGGTCTGTTTCATTCAAAATGTAGGGGTGTATTTTGGCGTATACGTGAATTTCGTTTGCACAATGCTAAATTTAATCAAATTTTAGAGGTAATAAAATATTAAGCTATTTATGAATTTTATTTTAAAGTCTTGATTTTTTTTTAATTAGTAGGCTATAGTATTATCGTGGTTCCCCCTTACTCTCAATGCGTGAAGTATGACAGTATGTGCTTATTAATATTATATTGCTAAATGGTTACTGCTAGCCTGCCTACGTCAATAACATCAAAACACACAGAAGAAGTCTGGGAGACTATAGGAAACTGGCAGAATCATAGGCTTTAAAGTCACCGCCATTAAAATAGGTCATGAGGAAAAAAGCTATTGACTATAGAACTAAGGACACATTCACTGTGAGCAGTCAAGTGGAATATGTGCCAGAGTTTTTATATCTAGGTAGCAAGCTCAAAATCAGAAGGGGATTTTTTACAGACCAGAAAAATCAAAGAGTATTTTCCCCATAGAAAATCTCTAATGAAGAGCCAGAACAAAGATCTAGAATAAAATATATGACTGTATGTGTCATGTGCAACTGTCTCTGCATGCACTTGCCACTGTTCCAAGGAATTTTTCTGGTCACCTGCCATTTAAAAACTAGTGTTTGTGTTAAAATGGTATGGATTTATCTGATCTTTTTCTTTAAATCTTACAATTTGCAATACATTTGGTTATTACTACAACTTTGAAATTATTTTTAAATTCATGTCTAGTGAAAAGCATACATTTTATTGATTAAATTATACCATATCATTCACTATGATAATATAACGCTTTGTATTATGTTTAAGTTTAAAGCCAAGAATTGAACCCCCCCTATTTTTTCTCCTTCTTATTTTGTAAAATACCTTGTGGCCAGCTGTCTGAATTGTTTTGTTTTCTTAAGTATATTCAGTTAGGTTAAGTTAAATGTCAATTCCAATATTTGGTGATATTTTGACAGAGAAGTGTAAATATTTTTAACTAGACCAATAATTTACACAACAAAGGTATCACATTAATTTTTTAATTTTAAAAATATTTTTTGATTTTTTGTGAGGTATCTTGAAAAGCCACAAAACCTGTATAATTTAATACAAGATTATATATGAAAGGAACTTAATCAAAAGATATGAAAAGAGATATAAATTATTTAAACCAATTACCTGTGACTTACAAAGTTAGTCACAATGTTTGACAAATGACAACACATTCTAGCAATGATACACACTAGAGCTTATATTTGAGTTTTGGTCCTGCATGCAATACTAATACTGGCATCATTATAATATGGAATAAATTAACACTTAAGGCGTATCAACATGTAATATAGCAGTAAAGAGAATAATCATACATTAGTACAGTAAAGTAATTTTTGAACAACTTTTGTAAAAATCTTTACCTAAAACATTTAACAGGAAATTAATTGAGAGTGAGAAGAACAAAAAATAATTGCTGTTAAAAGGTTGCTTAGTTTATTGAACCTCAATTTATACTATGTAGTTGGAAATAGAGAAAGTTACTTGGGAAAAAATTATAATTTACCACAAACCAGTAAATAACACCAAATACTTTTATAACATCTCGGGCAATAAACCAAATGCTATTGATACAACAAGTAAATGCAATGGCGTAGACAGGGTTACTGCAGCTTGTGGTCAGGTCAATCTTTTTTTTTTCCTCCAATCTTCCATGAAAACAAAGCTGCTGTCGGCAGAAAATGCCAGTCTCTCTTCACTTCCTAACCTGTACCACTGTAAGCATGTCAAAATTTTAATTTTTATATTGCAAATAAATAGAGAGTAAAATCATAATACCGACTTTTCCATGCATCACCACAAAATGAAATATTTAACCCGAGTCCTGCTTGTGTACAATATGAAAATACAATGATTTCAGATACAACATTCTAGAAAAGTAAAATTACTGTCAAAATAAAAAAAGCAATAAAAAAAACTTTTCACTTTTCATCCCTGATTTAGAGATAAGGCAAATAATAACAATAAATTGAGTGTGGATGTAAATATATTAAAATTTATGCTAACTAAACTTATAAAATTTTGTTGCAAAGAAGAGATAAATACATAATTTGTTTGAACAATTGAATTAACAATTTAACAAATTATGCTTTTCTAACATCTCCTTCAACATCTGATAGTCTGCGAATCATTAAAATGCCATCTCGTATTGGAACCAGAACCTGAGGAATAAATATGTCAGAAAAATTGTTGATGTGTTGATTGTCTCCATAAATTAAGTTTTTTTTATCAATCACAGAGTCAACAGCAAATATAATTAATGTTTTAAATATTTGTGGAAAAATAGTATCAAGTGTTTTTTTAAATATGATTCTAATATATATCACTTGCTAACCTCTACATGTAATTTATTACAAGTCTTCTACTTGAGACTAAACAAAGTTTACAAAACTAAAATATTTTTAACTTTTTATTAACATCAAGCCACAGTTGCCATAAGCCTGAGTTTTGCTAATGGTATTATTCATTGGCATTTCTCACTTTAAAATTTAAGATAGAGACTCTTGCTATTATTTACCGAATGTAAATCAGGATTGGAGGCCACAGCTCTTGCAAATATTTTTGAATTTGTTTCACCAAATGATTTCATATATCCTTCTCCCAACATGTAAGCATTATCAACTAGAACCGTGCCTCTGGAACTAAGTAAGTTTTGTTCAAAGGCCAACTGAAAGATTTCAAACATTTAAGTTAGTAGTTTTTGACAATATGTATCTTACCATATATCACAATCAAATATCAATATGAACAATAATTTCTCTATCATTAATATACAGCTTACCTGTTGCAGTTAAATTTAAACTTCTATGCCTGTAAATATAGTAGAAATGGATCAATTCTGTAGTTGAATATGTCTACCTTTTCCTGTAGACACCATATCTATACAACAATCTTAGAGTGTTTGTCTGTCTTTAACTGTTTTTGCTGTCCAAAGCTTTTTGGTAGAAAAGTTCTCTTTCTGTTCTTTTCATTCTTGAGGTTTTCCTCTATCCTCATTATATTTTTTATTGTAAATATAGTAATTTTCAAGTATTATTAATAAGAGAAAAAATATACCAATTAAATTTTTTTTAAATTTTTATATTGATTACCTTAAAGTATTCAATGTACTCTCCTTTATCAGCATCTAGGAAGATTACATCAAATTTCTCCCCATTGTCAACCATCTGTTGGAGGAGGCCCAAGGCTTTGCCTGGAAAGAAATAGTTTCTAGAATTGTCTTTTGAAAAAAAAAATTGTGTGTTATTTTAATGTGCCAAATTAATAAGAGAAACCTCATTATGCTCATGTATAAATGAAAGTTTAAATTATTGCTAAATTATTTCTTGCTCCAATATCAATAATACGTGACTAGGACTCACCATTACAGTTAAGAAAGCTGAAATGTCATTTTTTATTTAAAACTATGGAAATAGGGAGCACACCGTAAGTGAAAACATGCTAAGGGACACCACAAACCAACAAACATAATTGGCAAAAACTGTTTGCTTTTTCCTTATCCAACAACTTGATTGCAGTCTCACACACTATTATTCCTTATTTAAAGCTACAATGCAATCATTTCCACACTATACTAACCAATGAGAATTTTTATCTTGTAATGGTGTGGTGATGATTTCACTGCCTCTTCGACAAAGTCTTTCAAGTAATCGTCTTGATCAATGGTCACCATTTCACCATCCTCTGTGTGAAACATTTACTTATAGTATCAACTGTCATAGCATTATTACAAAGTCTAAAGTAAAAACTTCATCGCTCTCTGTCAACTATCAAGCATTATCATTTAAAAATTATAAGTAAAAACTTCATCATCCCACTATCACAGTGCTTTCCAAAGTGTGTGCCTGTGTGGTGGAGGTGTGTGACACATGAAAATATGCCATCTCTTGGTTCACTGATCCTTTTTTTACTTTAATTTAAAAAATCTGAAAATGACTTAAGAAAACCTATGGACAAAGTATGTAAAATTACATAAAAAGCAGACCTCTTCAATCAATATTATTTTTCTAAACTTTTTGATGACATGTGGTCATAATCTACCTTATCCAACACTCAGAAATTCTTTTAGGTCTGACAAGGTTGGATGCTTGAGTATAAGAATTTAGGGAAATGATTCTTAAATTTGTTTAAGGAAATTAAACAAAATTCAAGTAAAACTTTTGTGCACACAATGGCATATCTCCTTGACATATTTGAAAATTTGAAAGAAAGCTTGCAAGTAAAAGAATTAAATAACAGCGGCATATCAAATATTTGCTATGGGATTGGGAGGCCAAATAGTGATTTGGAAATGGAAAGTGAAAGAATAAAAATGTGAAAAAGTATTCCAAAATAACTGAATGTGCGCAAAAATATGATCAATTAAGTATCAGCAGAAATTATAAATGATTGGAATAAGTTGAAATGATGTTCAATGAAGGTGATTTAGCTTTTGGATTTTAAAAATTGCATGCTAAATAAATGAAAGGTCTTTATGAGATATGTTAAGGTTAAGTCATAAATTACGTTATTACACTTTATGTTTGAGCACGTTAAAATAGTTTAGTTTAGTATGCTGGTAAAACAGACTAATTGTGTCGCAAACAGTGCCAGCCTTAGCAAGTTTTGTGCCATAGGCAGGAGCAAAAAATGCAGCCCCATATTAACCATAAATGTTGAGGAGTCTGCTATTTTAATCATAAATGTTGAGAAGTCTGCTATTTTTGTCAGTTTTCCAAGAAACTGACTGTTCTGTTCATGTTTGAAAGAAAAAATTTCAATGTAATGAAAATGTACATTTCATTTTTTTTTTTATTATGGTCTAACTTTACTTAAACTCAAATTCTTTAAATAGGCAAGTTTGTAATGTCATTAAGAGTTTACTTAATATCTGATTTCTTGTCAAACATGGTTTTCTTGCTTTTAAGAATCACTTCGAAATTTATAAAAAATAAGTAGTCTACAAAAACAAAAAAATGCTGTAAATTTTTAGAGTGCTTTCTGGCTTTCATCATCATCATGTCCCTTAGTCCTTGGACCGTTGGGTCGCCACAGATGACATGTGAACTATCCTCCTCCATTCGACTCTGTTTTCTGCACTACGCATAGCATCACCCAGTGTTAGTCCTGTCCACTCTTTGATGTTATCCTCCCTTCTTTTTCTTTCTCTTCCTCTTCTTCTCCCTCCTCTTGTGGTGCCCTGCAATATTTCTTTGGCAAGCTCTTGTTTCCTTGTTATGTGGCCGTACCATTGTAGTTTGCATTTTTTCACAGTCACCAGTAGGTCATCGTACTCCCCAAATGCCTGGCGAACCCTTTCTTTCACTGTATCATTGGAGATATGGTCCCTATAGCAGATGCCAAAAATGCTTCTGAAGCATCTCATCTCCATCACCTTTATTTTCCTTTCAAGATCGGCTGTTAATGTCCAGGATTCACAGGCATACAGGAAAATGGGGAGGACTAATGAGCGCATCAGCCTGATTTTGGCGCTGGGGGCTATATTTTTGTCATTCCATATTTTCTTGAGCTTCTTTAGTGTTGTTGTAGTCTGCGCAATCCTGGACATCAGTTCGGGCTTGGAGCCTTCTTCTGAGACTATTGCTCCTAGGTATTTGAAGTGGCCTATAGTCTCTAATCTTTCCTCCCCGACCTTAATTTCAGTGGTGATGCCTGCTGTATTATTTGTCATCAGTTTTGTCTTTTCGGCACTGATTAGCATGCCGTAGGACAACGAGGTCTTATCGAGGCGCTTTACCAGGTTGGCTAGCTCTTCTTCGTTCCCAGCCAGTCGGTCTATGTCGACCGCAAAGCGTAGGTTGGTAATTGTTCTGCATTTGACATAATTCTCTCTAGGAAGAAGTTGAATAGGGTGGGGGAGAGCAGGCAGCCTTGTCGTACTCCAACCATGGTCTTGAACCATTCTCCGATGTTGTTGGTGAGGAAGACAGCACTGGTGTCCTTATCATAGAGGTTGCATATCATGCTGGATAGGTTTGTGTTGATGTTGAAGTGCCTCATGGTGGCCCATAAAGCAGGATGCCAAACCCTGTCAAATGCTTTCTTGAAGTCAACAAAGACAAGGTATAGGTTTTGTTGGTGTTGAGCATATTTCTCACATAGTATTAGGAGGTTTAGAATCTGCTCAGTAGTGCCCCGTCTTTGTCTGAAGCCCGCATGTTCTTCAGCAATGATTCTGTTGGTATATGGTTTTGATAACAGCTACCTCATTATTAAAAATGAGAAAACTACATTCAAATAATTGTGTACAGTATTTTAAACTCTTCTTCCCAAAATGTGCAGTTGGTCTAGAGAATGAACAAAAATTATATCTATCAAAGGATTTTGGTATATACAAAATGCACATGAGCATTTAAGGGGAAACCACTAGCTTTGTGGCAAAATCATTTTGATAACGACAGCGGGGTTGAAAATAGACAAAAATCTGCAAGTAATATCCCTTTTTATGGAATCAAATACTAAATATATTACTTACGGTACTTTATTTTTTTAAATAAAAAAATTCTAACTAGCCATAAATTTTGCTTACTAGAAAGCTCAATTTCCCGGTTTTCATGACCAAGAAAATATGTTTAAAAAATCTAGACTATTTCCCGTATCTTGACAGGCATGGCAACCCTTTTAATCGATATTTTAATACTTTTTATTGGTTTGTAATCTGGCTATCAATTTCTTTATGACTGCAAAAGGGTGGAAATAGGAAATATATTGCAAATCAACATAATTATTCCAAGGCCTAGGGTTCAACCAGCTGGAAGCATTCACTCATTCAGATCACTTTCATTGGAATAAAGCCTATCCTGCAACAAGACAAATAGTGCGGAGATATTCATCCAGCGGGCATGTCACGCTTTTTCTTAACATTGACACTTTTCAACCATTTGTTCATTACATATGTGAAAACATGAAATTAAATTAAAATAATAGTAAGTTTAAAACACTTTTAGTAATAAGTGAAGATTAAAAATAATACTCTCAAAGTATGTTTGGCGGTTATATGTGAGTTGGTCGCTAGATGAATATCCCGAGAACTTATTGGTCAGGTCACCTGACATGTAATGTAGACACTTCGGACTTGGTCGCTGGACGAATATCTCGAGAACTTATTCGTCCGTCGGGTCGCCGGACATGTAGACACTTTGTGTTTTACACTTACCCAACCCTGTTACTAGTGTTACCGTCTACAATCATTAGATTAGACTTAGACCTTTAGTTTTAGACTTAGTGGGCTTACAATTTAAAAATATTACTTATTAACTCAGACATACTACACCAATTCTAAGGCAAATAAATGATTTAAATTTAAATGAAAATGATGCAGACATAGATCATGTCATAGTTAGATTTTTGTAAACAGTTTGTTTCTTCTCCTTAGTTTTAATTGCATAATAAATTCAGATACTGTTAAGCCTTGCTGTATTTTTGTTTAAGTTTATAAAATAAATAGACTACTGCATACTTGTTGAATGTTTTCTGGAAATCTTGAATCTGCTTCCTGCTGAATTCTTTAAACTCAGTAAATGGGTTGAATACCTGCGAAGTTGGAAGCGGTGGTGCACTTGTTTCATCGCCTTCATTTATCAAGTTTCTTCGATTTAATTTAGCAGCTAATTCATCAGTAGCCATTTCAATAGAAAAACAAATGGAGAGCGTCTACAAATACTTTTTTTAAATTCAATTCGACAGAGTTTACAACAAAAACATGCTCATCGAAGTGTATATCTAGCTTTATTTAGTTTCCTTGTTGGATAGATGTAACATCCTCAACTTATTTCCGGGTGTGTCACGTGGTTTACTTCCTTGTCTTGTTTATCTTTTGTCTTTTAAGTTTATCGCATTTTTGTTAACTCACAGACTCATCCAACCAACCACCATCCACCGATCTCTCTAACCACTAAATATTTTTCAATAATAGGCTACCAATAGAAAGAAGTGATCAAGATCAGCGTCAGAGAAAATGCGGGTCACCCTGGACTAGGCCCATACTAACACTAAACAGCTGGGCCGTGCAGTGTTTCTTTCAGACACTTTCCCCTGGTGGGGGGATTTTCAGAGTTTTCGGGGGGGGGAGGGGCGTAGCAAAGGGGCAGATGGGTCATACATCCCGGTGCGCCAGACCGAAATGGGCTTTAGTGGTATGTAATGGTTGAAAGGGGGTTGGGGGGGGGGGGAGGGGGAGGCGTAAAAAGGAATCTTGTCCTCTGATGCCAGACACGCCCCTGCTAGTGGCGTAGAAAGAGGGCGGATGGGGTGATCCACACAGATGTCACTTTTTCATTTATATTCAGGTGTGACTTTCGGTTTCAATTAACTGCAGGTTTTGTATCGTTTAAAGGGAGAGCGGCAAAAATCGTGTACAGCCCATGGCGGCACTAATACTAGCTACGCCTTTCGGCAGTGTATCTATCGGCATCAAAATAGGCGATCACTTACCTCAGGAATTAGGGCGGACATCGAGGGCGCCGAGGACTCTTGATCGGCGGAGGATTTTTGGAGAAAATGTGGGATTATTTCAAAAACAAGTGGCACACTGTCATACTGATCAGCGCGAGGGAAGGGGGTGCAGAGGGTCTGAGGGAGGCATTATGGTGCCCAGTGCCGTATATAAACTACATTTACTCCAGTGTATTCATTTAGCGCAAGCTTATATTCAATCCCACACTGTCATACTGATCGGCGTGAGGGAA